TCTGTTGACTGCAGAGATTGGGACAGTGGTTTATAAGTGCATTCAGTCGAGTATGCTTATAGAGGTCCTGTGACCAATAATAACCTTGCCTATCAGCATGGGTGGGGGTTTCATCTTACATGCATCCCACCGTAGCCAAGTCTGTACATATGTCCAGGCAACCAGTAGGGGTCATATATCTTCCAGAGTAACAGTTTGCACAAGGCAGCAGAACTTGGCCAATGCCTCACTACCTTTAATTCACAAAACTGTGGCAAATGGGATATGTGTTCTTTTAGAACTGGGGGGGAGCCCTCACACTTTTCAGAATCATGTTGTGCAATAGCATGCTGTTCAGAACAGCAGATTCCTGTGCTTCTTTGTACTAGGCTAGCATACTAATGACAATGGGTCTACTCTAAGTAGGATTAATACTATTTAGGTCAATGAGCACTATTTTTCACTTTATGTTGCAGTACCTAACAATTAAAAAAAAGTGGCAGTCAACAGCTCCTGTTCAGTTTCTGCTCATTTTAGAGGTTTAATGGGTATTGTCTTCTGCTGAGATGTCTGATTATGTTTAAATGTGTTGTCTATGTAATAATGGTAATTGTATTGTTCTGAAATGTATTCGTTTGGTAAGTATGTGATGGGAGGTGGTTAGTGTGAACATGGGGTTTTAGTCAGAATGGTTCAGATTGGCTGGAAAAATCTGGTAGAAGCTGGTTTTTAATAAAAGAGCTGGGAGTTTGAGGGAAGAGAGATACAGTAATAGAATGAAGAACTGTGCTGTATGAATTTTAAATCTAGGATTAAGTAACATGATTTGGACACTATTATTGTAATTAAATCTTATTAAGTTAAATCAAGTGGAGTGTTATGGAACTCCATACCTGAGAGTTGGCTATATGGAGAGTGTTAATAAAAGCCTGCATGAAGGGGCAAGTACACAATTATAAGGACACTAATAAAGTTCTAGTATCATGAATCTTTGAACTTCAGAGCTCGAAAGGATGCTATGGATCATCACGTCCAGCTCATGTCAAGGGGGTACAGTGGGGAATTGAACTCCCAACTTCCTGCTCCACGACCAGATGCCTGAACCACTGAACTGATACAAGTTCTGCAACAGCAAACCTACACGACATAGTTCTTGGAAATTAAGCAAGCAATTAATTTGATTATTATTATCAATGTTTGTCTATATATTATATCAGTAGTTCCCAACCTTGGTTCCCCAGGTGTTCTTGGACTAAAACTCCCAGAAGACTTCGCAACTAGTTGTGCTGGCCATTGTTTCTGGGAGTTGTAGTCCAAAAACATCTGGAGTCCAAGGTTGGGAACCATTGTATCAAGAGTCTGTGTCCTTTTTCCTTAGTGACATTTTCCTTAAATTCAGGTAATATTTGTGTGAAATAAAACTGCTTCACTTGCCATAGCTACTCTCATTTGTTCTATTGTGAATGTTGTGTTCTGAACAGGAAATCATGCTGATTTAGATTGTATGATTTTCATGTCATGGTGTGCAAGCAGATCATCTTTGTTGGTTGGTGGAGGATATGTGTGAAATGCTCCTTACTTTCCCATTACTTTTACATATTGATTCAGTATAGTAGTGTGTGTGGTTCTTGTCAGTCAGTTTTGGTGCTGTTGAAATGGTTTACCTGCTTTCTCATAGCTAATTTTTGAATCATCTTCTTGGCTCACATGTATTAGGAGATTGTTCTCATGGCTGACAAGAGATTTGTTGCTTCAGCATGGAAACTTGAATTGGTATCAGCAGTACTAATTTAGCCTGTAGAATTTCACAAGTGAATGAAGGCAGGAACATTGCATGTGGTTAATGGCTGCTTTAGATTTTGTTTTTTGTTTATCCAAAGTAGAAATTCCTCTGTCTTAGTTTTGAAGAGCCAATGTAAGAGTCATCTGGATCAGAAAACAAGCTGCAACTCTTATTCAGTCATTGTCGAATTTGGTTTCTTAAACACAATTAGAGGGGAGCACCTAGATCACCCCTGCTTTTGTCTTTTTCTTCATGCAATCAATGTGGAGTTTGCAAAGGAGAAGTTCTTGCTCACATGGAAACTTTGTATATAAATAAAATTCTGGAAAACCTGAGTTCTTGTTCACATCTAGAAACTGCGCTCTTGTTGACTTCAGATTAATCATGTGAAGAACGCAACAACAGAAACTGGATTCATTAACACCTGAATAGGATGTACGTTGTCTAGCATTCAATTTCCCATTGTGGCCAACCACTGTCTGTCAGAAGCTCACAAGCGGGCTATGAGAAAGATAGTCTTTTCTTGTTGTTTCCCAGAAAACTATATTCTAAGTACTTGGCCATCCAGTCCACAGAGCTTTCAGCACTGTAAAATTATGTCTGCCTGTTGACAATGATGGCTATTATGCAGAATCAGTTACCAGGGGCTAAAGTTTTAATCATGTGTACCTTGGTTTGGAAACAAATCTGAACAAAGTATAACTTACATTCAAGTAAACAAATAATATCTTGGTGGCGTATTAGATCATATTAGCTGGACTCTAGAATATGTGATATGTTAGTCTGTGGAACTAAGGTTGTGCCATTTTTTTGTTTTGCTTTGCTTTGATTCCAGAATTCTCCTAGAAATCCCCTGGCAGAATTCTGAGAGTTCTAGCCACAGACAGACACATCCAGAAACATTTATGTTTCTCTCACATGGAGTAAGACCTAACTCAGACTATCCAGTCCACAGAGCTTTCAGCACTGTAAGACCTAACTCAGACTTACCGTATTTTTCGCACCATAAGACGCACTTTTTTCCCACAAAACAGGGGGGTGGAAAGTCTGTGTGTCTTATGGAGCGAAGAAAACAGATTATATTTTCCTGTTTTCTTCTCCTAAAAAATTGGTGCGTCTTATGGAAAGGTGCGTCTTATGGAGCGAAAAATACGGTACTTTTTGTCTCGGGCTTTGCTTCCTATTCAAAAAGGAAACTGCCAGTGCTTCTTAGGAAGCCTAGGTCTTTGTGGGATGTGCAGTTCCTTGTAGGAGGACATTCTATTGAGCCTAATTGACAGCAAGACTACAGAAAGACCTAGCCTTCCCGGGAAGTATTGGGGCAATTTCCTTTTTGAACAAGAAGCTAGGTCTGAGCCCAGGTGAGTGAAATGTAAGTGTCTGTGGGCTTGTACTGTGGAATTCTTAGAAAATTCTGAGAGTTGGAGTCCACACCTCATTTTTATTTTTTTTATTCATTTTTTTGTAACTGAAGCTTCATGATCCTTCCATTTAAAAAAAAATCTGATTGGTTGGTTGGTTTTGATGCCTCACAAGACAGCTTCTTCTATGACCGTGCTTCACAAGATGATTTTCCCCCGAAAGACCTATGCCTCACAAGATGAAAATAATTCATTTGTCTTGCGAGGTTCCCATAGGAAGGCATTGCAATGCATTCCTATGGGAAAACGCTTTTTGCAAAATGAAAATTTTGCAAGACAGTGCTGCTTGCGGAATGAATTACTTTCGTCCTGTGAGGCACCACTGTATGTGCTTAAAAGCCTGTGGAAGGCCAGAAAGGTTTGCAGCTAGTGCCAATGCTCATTTTATTTTTTTGCTTCCCCCCCCACACACCTTATTTGCTCAGATGTGCATTTACTTGTTTGACTGTGGCTGGCTCATGGTGTTATTTAAAAGGGGAGATGTAGTGTGGGATATCATTAATACTTGTTTTGCTGCCTGTACATTTGTAGTTAGGTTCTGTGCAAATCTGAGCATATCCTAGAATGAAAGAGTAGATAAAGTTTGACTTCATCACAATGCCACATCTTCTAAACTATGTGAGATTAATACAGTGGTGGTATTGTGCTGTGGTTCAGCATAGAAATATACTGTGTTTCCCGGAAACAAGACAGGGTCTTATATTAATTTGTGCTCCAAAAATGCATTAGAGCTTATTTTCAGGGATGTTTAATTTTACAGTCATGTCATCTTCTGGTTGCTGCACAATGCAGCATGATGGTAGAGGGCGGGGTTTCACTTAACCTGGGGCTTATTTTTGGAGTAGGGCTTATATTATGAGCATCCTGAAAAATCATAATAGGGCTTATTTTCAGGGTAGGCCTTATTTTTCAGGGAAACGGTACTATGGCCATGGGCCAAACATGTGACTTTGGTGCAGTGATTGTCACCATATGAGGAGGGATCCTTTGTATAAAGCTGGAGGTCGTTTGAAATTGCACTCTAGTTGGAGGCTTCCAGTTATTGAAGGATTATTTGCCTTAACACCCGTTCTTCTACTCTGTGCTTCCCACTATACTGTATTTTGACTGTTTTGTTGGTACAGTACATCATCACCAAAAGAGTGTTCAACCAGTGTAAGGGAAGTCCAATATAGCTGTCACAGCAACAGCGTATCTGTGATTCTAACAACATAAAAGAATTTCCGTCAGTTACTATAGTCTTTATATACCACATCTTCAGTGTAGAACTCCAGCTTACAACTGCTGTTTTCTTCATTTAATCCGCAAATTTCCAGCAGAGTTGCACATCGGAAAGTAGGGTAGTAAATATTTTTCTTCTTTAGTTCCCTTTAGAGACTCTGTGTATTTTTTAAACAACTTCTAACTAGCTTACTGCAGTGGAGAATTAAATCCATGGATGGATGAAGAGGTTCATGCATCATGGATCTTGCCTAGCTTCAGTAAGAAGGAACACAAATGTTGTTCCACTTCAGTGTTAGAGTGATAGGAGTTGTAATCTAACAGATTGGAGGGCAACAGGTTTCTATTTCTGCAGTTCTTAGATTCTAAGATAAACTTGCTCTAGACAATTGTGTTAAGAAAAGTGAAATCTTAATATATTTTAGAAAGCCTGTAAGTAAAAAATATAAAATAAAATAAGTGGTTGCTATAAAAAGAAGAAGCAGAAACTAAAAGATTTTTCTTTCTCTGTTTTGCTACACACGCATGCACATACATATGTACATGAACAAAAGTTACATTATATTAAAAGCTGATTTTATCTTCTCTCTCTAAAGGAAGGAGCTTCAGCACGGAAGACTCAAACCCCAGCAGCACAGCCTGTTACAAGGCCAGGTATAAAATGTTTTAATCATTATTGCATCATAGTAGACTAACCTTTTATTTTTAAACAGTATATTGAGCCTGCTTAGCTGGTCTTCAGATTTTGAATGATTTTATTATACATCAATTGTGGAAATTACATTTGCTATAATTTACACATTCCTTTGTGAAACTATAGGAGTGTATAAATACGAACTTGATGATTCATTGACTGGTACCTTGGTTATAAGAATTCAGGGATACTTTAATAGTAAGTTGGCAAAATTAAAGTGGGGGGGGAGAAGAAAACTGTGACAAAATATTGTGAAACTTTAAAAACTAACAAATTTGTTTCAGCATGAGCTTCTGTGGATCAAAATCCACTTCTGCAAATATTGTTACTAATAAAAATTAATATAGTTCCATAAAAAGGAGGATTGGGATCACTGTTAAATTTCAGTACTCCAGGAAAATTATAATACCTAAAACTTGGAAGTATGGTATTGCAGCTAATTCAGGTTGATGATGTTGATGTCCCCTGAACTAGGCTTGTTGACCACTCTAGGCTGAAAAAGGCTTATTGTATGAGTTTTCTCAAAAATACTCAGTATGTGCTGATTTAGAACAGCCACTATCCTTTGATTATATTGTAAGTGAATGTCACACAAATGCTATTGGGACATTTAAGATTTCGAAGTCCTAAATAGCCATGAGGTCTGGTTCGTGTCATGCCAATAGTTTGTGGAAAAAATAGTGCAAGTTTTCTTGTCTAGTTATGCTACTGTAACACAGTTTAACTATGAGTAGGAAATTTTCTTACATTAAGCAATCACTGTAGATTTTATTGCACAGAGTTATGTGATTTCTTAACTTGGGACAATTTGCCTCTGAAAGATACACCATTTGCATAGCTACACAAGAAGATTTTGGTCACTAAAGAGCAATATGGTACAGAGAAGCCTGAAGAAAATAGAATGATGACTAGTGTGTGTAGGTTTTCTACATTAATTAGATAGTTTGAATGGCATTTCAGTCAGAACAGTGCCTGTTGCCTTCCCAGTGGGAAATACAGCCTTCTCAGCTTTTCCAGATCCAGCAGGAATGCTTTTTCTCAGTGATAATGGAAAAGCACTCTTTAAGTGACCAGTGCTAAATAATTTTATTTCCTCTCTTTTTATCAAGTGTAAAACAATTGTTTTTTCTATTAAATAAGGTTTATTTAAAATATGTTTCAGATAAAATGTTAATGTATTTAGAGCAGCATGGTGTTGGGATTCTGTACTAGTTTTGTTATCTCTGTAGTTGTGCACCTGTGCTTAGAAAGGTCATACTGCCTGTCATATTTATCTCACCAGGATTGTTGAGAATAAGAATGTGTTTGGAGCTGACAGGCAATGATATGAAAAGGGTAGAAATAGCAAGAGCAGAAATACATCTGGATAAACCGTCACACATGGGGTCACATTGCCAGATGCGATTTCACACACATTAACTGAAAGGCCTATACAGGCCTTCATCAGTACAAAAACTGACCCATATCATGATTGACCTTCCATATTGCAAGGTACAAAGAAATAAAGAGAATGCCATAAAACATTCCCTCATGATTTTAGCAGAAAAAATGGTTTAATGTCTTCAGTAGAGGTGTTTGTTTATAGAGAGTCATAAATGCTTTTGATGTCTTCACAAAATTTCATAGGCATTACACTGCTTGAAGCTGGTGTGGATGTGATGATGAAACCATACAGCAGGTTAAGTAATTACATGGTTACAGCTTTTTCTTAAAACATGGTTGGTTTGGTCAGCAAAGCTCAGACATACCTGTGTTGGGCAATCATGTCCCTACCACTCACCTTCTGCTCATGATACTATGATGAGGAGAAGATTTCAACAGTGGGGAGCTTATGGTTTTAAATAGAGATGGGCATGAACAGCAGTTTGGTGTGGCACCCGCACAGGTGTTCCACAGGCACCACACATTTTGGTTTCCTGCCTCTTCTGTGCACTTGCCCATCTCCTGGGCAAAGCGTGTTTCCGTTCCCGCCTCCTCAGCACAACTGCTCACTCACCAGTCGCAGCACACACATCTCTCCTCTGTGTCCTCAAATGGCCAACCCCCCAAAGGCAAAACTGTGGGCTTCCCTGCCTCACTTCCTCATCTGAGTGGGCAGCTACCAGAAGAGCTGGAGGAGGGAAGTGTTTGCTGTGATCGGTGAGTAGGCAGATGTGCTGAGGAGGCAGGGAGAGAACTGCATTTCACCCTGGGAATGGGCAAGCATTCAGAGGAGATGGGAGAGGGGAGAGGAGGGTGCCCGCAGAATAGCTATGCCAGCGTCATGCCAAACTGGGCCAAACCACTGAACTGCAGTCTGTGCCCATCTCTAGTTTTAAACTATTGACATACTAAACTGACCAGAGATGAAGTAATTCCTGCATGCATCATTTTGAAGTAAGCGAAGACGATAAACAGATAGGAGAGGAAGATGGAATTCCTTGTTATGGAGTAATTCTGAAATGTAAATTATGATGTATTTTGCAAAATTACTGTTCAGGCCTTTGATATTCTGTACTCTTACACTTTTAAGTACCTTTTCATGTTGTTTTTCTACAGAAATGTTTTTGAGAAATGTAGTCTAAAGCTTTAAATGAGAAAATGGCTTCACAGTGAACCATAAAAGAGTCAGCAGGGGCATAATCAGAGCAAGTTAGGAACGTGGGAGGGGGATTGTGGACTGGAATGTGACTTGTGCCACATCCAGTATGAATGGTGAACTGAATCAGTCCATAGCCCTTGTGTGAGCACTGATTACAATTTCAAACAGAATCACTGCCCTCAACTCTGTGTGGTCTGAGAACATCCCATTTGCCTATTCATTTACAAGCGGGATAAGAAGGCCTTAACAGATAGGGAACTTTGACATCTGAGCATTCAGTCTGGAGGCAGACAGTGCAACATGGCCTCCCCTAATTTAAAGAGGCACTTGTTCAGCAGGCCGAGGCAAAGAGGCAGTCCCAAAACTAGCAAAATCAGGGAGCTGGACAGGGGACAGATTGTATTTATCTTCAGTGTGGAAGGGATTGTCACTCTCATATTGGCCTTCTCAGTCACACCAGACACTGTTCCAAGACCTCTATTCAGAGCACGTTACCATAGTCTCTTGAGACTGAAAGATGCCTACAACAGGCTACAAATGTAGTCTCACCCTAAGACTCAAAAAGCACAGATCTTCTATTTTTATAGGAGATCCATCAAAAGAAAAAAGTGAATCATGTTATTAATAATTGCATGTTTGATCACCATATTGTATTCCAGGAAACTAACCATGTGGAGTAGCAATTTTATTCCATACTTCTTTATTTTCAAATCTTCTGATATCGACACTGATAACTATAATTTCTGTGTTATAGATACCATAAATCTTCAATACTGCACACTCACACACATCCCATGGCATTGTCCCAATTCAGGGCAACATACTTTTATAGGTAGGGTTTTTTTTAATACTGTTATAGCAGAAGAGTGGTATTACTAGCAATCCAAATACACATAAAAAGAAGTTAATAGGAACAAAATCACACAAAAAGACATTGCCTGTCAAGGCATACTGTATAAATGCAATCTTTTAAATACTTAGAGATTCCTATATCTTGGGGAACATAATTGTATATATATTTCTGTCTGCAACATAAGATATACTCTTGAATTGGCTATATATTGCTTTCTAAATTTATTCAACTCATGTTAAAGATTATACCTATAAGTGCAAACAGTATGTGGTCATGCATCCACTCACCCAATCCTAAAAATGCTACAAGCTCAGCCAATTATTGTTTCAACTTTAATATAGATTCTTAAATTACTCAACTTTCTCTGAGGTATTCTGCTCCCCTATGTTTGCTGAGCCACCACAGCAACTCTCCACATTCATGACACATTATAGAATAGATGCCAGACTCCATTAAGACACAAGTTTTGGTTGGACCTATTGTTCTATATTGTGCACTGACACACATCCTGCCTCCAAAATAAGCTTGCTGGTCCCTCATATTTGCAAGAAAGATTGCTTACTTGTGACTGAGTTTCTTCAAGTGGTCATTTGTTGCGCTTGTATAACATGTCCTCCCATCATGGATATCTGTTTCTGCCAGGGCTTGGTGGATATGGAATTGTGGGAGCATAGGGCATGCTATGGGCTTCTGCAGTGTATATTGTGGGGCCCCACCTAAAACTTTACTAATCAGCTTTGAAAGGTTCCAGAACAGTCTGTGCTGGCAGAGAAGCCCTTCTGTTTGACTGCCATAGATGACAACTTGAAAAAAATAGTTACAGGTAGGCAGCCTATTTATTGCTCCCTTCTGTCATTAAGCCCTTATGGGTCCCAAGTAATCCTTTTAATAGCTGGGAACCCATGGTTGCCGAGAGATGAGAGGGGCAAGTCACCACTGGGATGGTTTTATGGTGACTTTACTGGATTTTTGGTAAGTAAAGACTTCCCACTCCTCTTTCTTGGCCTTCAAATATTCTTGGCAATGAAAGGAATTGCTCAGGACCTGTTGGGCCTCAGAAAAAGACTGAGTGTTTACCCTTGCCCTTGCTGAGAACATTGTCAGACATACACTATGGAACTTGCACAAACAGAATTTCAGCTTATATCCTTGTTCACCAACTTCATATCAGAGTTGGAACAGTGTATGGTTTTAGTAGAGATGGGCACTTACCACGGTTCAGCACTGTTTACAGATCGGACCTACAGGTATTACACAGGTGCCAAGGATTCCACGCCCTGCATCCTCCTATAGGTGCCCACTCAGAGGAGGAGGTGGAGCAGGGAAGTCTGTACTGCTGCTTCCTATGAAGCACTCACAGGAGGAGACGGTGCAGAATCTGGGGTGCCCACAAAGCACCTGTGAGCCCACTTCACCAAAGTGCAGTAAGTGCCCACCTCCAATTTTTAGTAAACTGTGAAATTGGACCACTTCTGTTTAGTCATACATAGTGTTATATATGACGGAACAAAGGAACATACCTCCAACTTATTACAGTGGTGCCTCGACTTATGATCCGTCCCAGAAAATGTTCTTAAGTTGAAATGTTCGTAATTCAAATCAGCATTTCCCATAGGAATGCATTGAAAACCGATTAATCCATTCCGGCTGTTTTTTGTTCTTATGTAGAGGCACGGTTTGTAAGTCGAAGCATTAGTTCCCATAGGAACTAATGCAAAACCGGTTAATCCATCCTCTACCACTAGGGGAGATTGTTTTTCTTTTTTTAACCTAAGATGACTTCGGTTTAAAAAAGGGCAGGAAAGGAGGAAGGCAGGGAGGGAGGGAACAATGGGGAAAACAGGAAAGAAAGAAAAAAGGTCATCACTGGGGCACACAGACCCCTCAGACAAATATTTTTTTAAAGCACAAAAAGAGAGAAGACAGAGAGAGAGGAGATAATTGGGGGGGGGAGTTTGGAGTCTAAAATGCATTTTAAACAAAACACATTTTAAACCAACACATTTTACAACACATTTTAAACCAAGCAACTTTTAAACAAAGCACATTTTAAAGCAAACCAAGCAACTTTTAAACAAAACACATTTTAAAACAAACCAAGCACCTTTTAAACCCACCCACCAACACCTTTTAAAACAAAAGAGAGGTTTAAAGAGAATATATATAAGATGTTTTATAGGTGGCATATGACCCCAGAAAAACTGTCAAAGATGTATACTGATGTATCAAATAAGTGTTGGAAATGTGAAACACAAATGGGAAGTTATTATCATATGTGGTGGTCATGTGGAGTAGCGAAAAAATATTGGAAAAGAGTACATGCTATGTTACAACAAATTTTGCTCTGTAAAGTGCCACTAATCCCAGAATTGTTTTTACTAA